CTTTTTATCATCATCATTTTTCAACTGCTCCCCAATTTCTTGTGCAATTATCACATCTTTTGGATTGGGGTGGGATCCTTCAACACTTGCCCACTTCTCAAGGTCACACCATTCACTATTTCTTTGGAATTTATCTCAGTATCAGTGGGGAGAGTTCCTGGAATCCTCTCAGATAATAGAGTGGCTAGCTGCCCAACCTGTCTTTTAAAGTATCAAAAACCAATACATATTTCTTTGATAGCTGATCCATGTTCCCGTACAGCTGCGCTATAAGTTTTAAGCCTCTCATCAGTTTTCAGAATGAAGGCCTTCATGAGATCTGCTATGCCAAACTGAATGGGCTATTGAGGCTAAAATTGCTGCCTCTATTGATTTTGGTATGATGGAGCTCCTTGTCCCTGGGGTCTAAAGTTATTTTGCTGCCATGCATTCGCGGTACCACCCAGGTGAACTCCATGAAAAACCGGGGTGCCTCTGACCCATTTCATTAAAATTGTAAATTCCCACAACATTTACTTCCTCAGTTGAGGCTTGACACTCATGAGTAGGGTATCCTCTTCCACATATATCACAAGCTGCATGAGGCTCATTTTATATCGAGGCTAAGGTCAGCTTCCTTATTTCTTTGGCCATAGCATCAAGTTGTACCTGCACAGATGTGATAGCATCAACCTGGTGAACACCAGTTGATCTTCTTCTTTCAGCACTCTCAGAGGGCCACTGATTTGCATCTTTAGATAACTCGTCAAGAATTGTGACTATATCCTCGGGAGTCTTTTTCATCAACGAACATCCAGCTGCATTGCTCAATGTTCTATGTGAGGCGGTGTCAATCCATCCCAAAAGTTTTGGAGTTGCATCCAGAGTTCAATTCCGCTATGTTGACACTTTCGAACAATCTCCTTAAGCCTCTCCCATGCTTCAAAAACAGTTTTCGTATCTTTCTGGCAGAAGTTATGGATTTCCCTTCTAAACTTGCCCGTTTTAGCTGAGGAGAAATATTTATCAAGGAATTTTCCGGTCATCTCCTCCCAAGTTCTAATTGATCACGCGGGTAAGCTTCGAAGCCACTGTTTTGCATTATCTTTAAGTGAAAAGGGGAATGCCCTTAGATACACTGCATCTTGTGACACACCATTGTATTGAAAGGTGTTCATAATCTCCTCGAAGTCCATTATATATGTGTTTGGATCTTCGTTTGGCTTCCCTCTAAAGACACAGCAATTCTGAAGGGTTTGAGGCAACCCTTGCTTTAACTCGAAATTGTTTGTTGTAATTGGAGGCGGTCTAACACTTGATAAATCTTGATTGTAGACCGGTCTAGCATAATCGCCAAGTGGTCTCCCAAGCAAGGGTTGATGTTGATTAAGTCTGTTCTCTTCTTCATAAATGTTTTGCGCATCTCTAATAGCTGCTTCATCAGCATCTCGTGCAGCTTGATCTCATCGCTAGGCTGCTTCTCTCGCAGCCAAATCCACATTATCTTCACCGTTTCCAACCATGAGTTCTTTGGTTGAGGATTGCCCAACCTTTTCTGTTGTCTCGATGAGATTTCTTTCCTTCTTCAACTGTCATAGTTATTTTTCTATCTCGAGTTTGTATGGTAGCACTTTCCTTCACAGAAGTTCAAGTTATGCACCAATCTAACCTATAACCTGCGCACAGTCAAACAACACCAAACATAAAAAGAGAAAAATAAAATAAAATAAAAAGGAAAAATTCTTGAATTAGCACTACAAACTATTTCAAACATTGTTGATTGTCAATCCCCGGCAACGGCGCAAAAATTTGACGAGCGCAAAACACACACTTAAATATGCTCGCTAGTCGAATATAGTATAATATAATATCGTATCCACAGGGATTGGAGTTAAACAGTATTATCATAGTTTGTAGCTAGAATGTTATCCAAGATGATTAAAAATTTAGATTTATGTGATTAATACTAAAATTAATTAAGAATCTAGAGCTAATTGACTAAAAACAATCGAACCAAGGACTAAGAAAAGGAAGATATCAATGAGAGAAAATAGGGTTTTGATAAGATAGGTGCAAGATAATTATCTGGGATTTAACTCTAGATAACTCACTTCTAATGTTCAAATGAGCCTCTCGAATTCACTTAATTATCAGTACAATTGTTTAGTAGAAACTCCTCTCTCGATTAAGTCTCAACCTCTCAATATGAACCAATTTAAGCTCTGTGAAGATATGCAAGAATGCGTAATGGATTAGTCTTTAGGAGAACCTCTCTCAATTATCCTCCTAACAAGGTTTAATAAATGATTCAACTAGCCTCTTACGATTACTAAGAAGAATTAATGAACTCAACCAACAACATAATGCAAAGATATCACAAGTTATGCCTCTCTCGATTACATGAACATGTGAATATAGATGCAACAATTAAATCATCCAAAACGATTCAATACATAAAACTAGAGTTATAATCCACAAACAAATATCAATACACCAAATCCATCAAACCCTAAAGAGAACTACTCCATAGATATGGAGCAATTCATCACAAATATGTTTAAAGTAAAGGAAAACATAAAACGATCCAAACTTGGGTCTTGAGTGAGGATTGAATGATGAACTCCTTGTATTTTTCCTTCTCCAACTCCTCCTTAGCCTCCTTAGGTCGAATATGTATCAAAAGTCCCAAAAATAATATTTTTCCATGTATATATACAAAGTAGGGTCGGGCCTAGACGAAATCACCTTCTCCTAGCCGAAATAGGATTTTCAGTCTCTAAAAATTGCGCAGGCGCACCGCATGGGGCGACGCGCCATGCGGGGCATTAGTGGGGAAATCCAGAGAGTTGAAATCTATCAGGCAGTAGAAAATTCACATGCACGGCACCCCATGTGCCACCCCACGCGCCGTGGCAATGGGGATTTCTTAGAGTACGGAGTTTTTCATGCGTTTTGACGTCCAGATGTGATTTTCGACCCCCAAACGCGATTCCGGCTTAATCCCTTGGGCTTTTACTCAGACTTCAAAATTCCAAATAGCTTGAATTCATTCTATACATCTACATAGATCGGAATCACTCCTACAAGGCATAAAACACGTAATAAGTACAAAACACTAGCGATTAAAGCTCAAAACGAATAAAGTGCAGTAAATTGGAGTGCAATAAGCGACTAAAACATGAGATTATAGCCTACCATCATCTGACCAAGACATACTCCATACCTCCTACAGAAGTCCAGAATGAGCGGATCCACTGGGCCTAGTGTGAATGGATAAGTGTAAACACTCAGATACCCATCCACATGGGTAGAAATGGCTTCCTCCGTCCTAGGGATTACTATGTTCTTATTCGCCCAGCCGCAGTCCTTTCGAACTGCAGGAAGGACTTCTTCGTTGATGGAGCAAAAATACCTAGATACTGCCTCATATCGGCCTTTCACCGACGAGGGCTTTTCTACCTTAAAATCATCCGCAATCGAGCACCCCACCCCCCCGAGGACAAATATTTTCAAGGGAGGCTCGGGATCCGGTTCATCGGTATCCACGCCCGGAGTGGTTCTCTCGAGGACGACCACGTCGGGAGTGGTCTCCTCGACTTCGGTGGTCAGCTGCGAAGAAGAAGCAATATTTTGGGGAACGGTTTTGGAATTTTTCGCCATTATTATCTGGTAAAAGTCTAAAAATATGAAGAAAGGTTGAGAGATGAAAGGTAAAGCCTTTCTGAGAAAATCAAGTGCACTGGTTTAGGTAGAAAATAAGTAAAAGCTTGCAATTTACTAAGAAATATTGAAGAACGGAGGTAAAAAAGTTGGAGTATGAAGAAGGGCAATAATATCCTGAAGATTTGAAGGTAGAAGCTTGGTCAAAAGGTAAAAACTAAACGAAGGAGGGGAGTATTTATAGAGGCTTCGCGTCGTTTCGCGTCAAGGGATGGCCTGCCGATAGCTGACACGCGTTTGAAGTCATTATGACACGACTGACAGGACGTTCCGAATTCTTTGTCGTTTCTTTCACGGCGTGTTGAAGAAGGGATCGAAGTGCGCATGTCATTTCTCGTCGTTTCCATAAACTTACTCTCCGGAAAACGAGGGGACTATCTGTATACGGGCGAAACTGAACCCATGGGACGCCTCGATTTTTGATGAAATAAATGGAGCGAGAGACGTGACGATAAGGAACCGGAGTCGAAGCAAAGAGCCTCTCGAGCCGGGGTCCGGACAAAACGCCTGCCCTCGGGAGTATCGGGACCATGACCCCCAGGTTCAAATCCCAAAGGCCTCTGAGAGCATTACCAAATAATCGAGCACGACCAACAAAAGACCGTGGTATCCGTGACCAGCCGGATGTCACGGCGTGAATCTCGACAGTATCGGCAGAGAACCGGTGATTAGTTAAACAGAAGATTTTTACCTTTTATGAAATTGTACTTAGGGTAAAACCCCCTACTATATAAAGGATGGTCTGATTATTCATTAGGGACATTGTAACACGCACATTAAGGTAATATACTCTCATTTCTCTGTTATTCAAAGTTCTTACTTTTGTTCATCAAATCATCACTAACGTAAGCCCAGGATCGAAGGCATGCATTTCATTAAGTTGTTACTAAGTCCGGGATCACTCCTCTTGATTGGTTTGATAATTTATTACGTCCTTTATCTGTTTAATTTAACGCAATTTATCGTTTGTATTGAATTAACCCACGTATTCTTAAAACCACTTACAAATTTAATTGTTATCCGTTTTTGAAGGTAAACAATAATAAAGTTAAATATTTATTATTAATCCAATGCTAAAAATAACTCTTAAACAGAAAGGTACTCAAAATAAAACTAATAATTCATAATACAAATAGAAAATCATATATCTAGTGACTCAATTTTATCTCGTACAAACATTTCTCTCCCTCAGACTAAGTTTGTATCGTTCTCAATGTAATAAGGAAGAGTAATGTTAGAGGAAAAACCGTCCATCTAATAGAAATAACAACAAAAAATATTGTTTGACACATTGACCTCAAGCAAAAATTATCGAGGAAAAGGACCCTCCTTCACCATTTCCCTCAAACCCCTAAATTTTGACATGATCAATTATCCCAATTGCCATGATATAATCTTGGAAGTAATAATACAGCAAACACCAAGAATATAATATGTTGTTTAATCATCATTACAACAAAATTGGTTGCAGATTGATAAGGTAGCATCCTAATTATGTTCTTTGATTTGTTTTATCCTAGTCAATTGGCTTCTCTATGCGACGACAGATTCTTGTCAAGATAGCAGATTTATATTATTTTTTTCTGGTCCTACTCTTTAATCCATCGTCTTCTGAAAAGGCCAATTCCATCTGCAATGTAATCTTTGTTTAGAATAAGAAAAAACGGAAACTGTCATGTTATTTTGTTATGGCTCAGGGCAGAATAAATATTGGGATATTGACATTTGAATAGGTCAAGAGATGCTGATTTTCTGCAAAGGTTTTTGACAATGTTCAAATTACAATTTGAATTTGAGGCTTTCATGAATCAGAAACAATTGGAAGAGAATCTTACCGAGGAAAATGCTATTCATAAATTTGGAGAGGACTTTGCAACTTGTATTTACGTAGCCAAAGTTGCACAATTTTTTCATGCTATAACAACAACGTGGTCCAAGAATCTGAGCAGCCACGCCCTTTACATTGTAGTCGAAAACCTTTCTGAAGAAACACATTTCACATGCAAAATAGACCTAAAATCTTGGCAATTTTGGGGTAAGAAGGGTTTAAAATCATTCAACGTAGGTAAAAAGCGTGTGGATATTTATTGGGATTTGAGGTCTGCCAAATTGTCTAGCCGGCCAGAGCCTGTCTCTGATTATTATGTGGCATTGGTCTCAGAAGGAGAGATGGTATTATTATTAGGTGATCAAAATAAAGAAGCATTCAAGAGAACAAAGTCAAGACCAGCTTTTGTGGATGCTGCTTTAGTGCACAAGAAGGAAACTGTATATGCAAAAAAATATTTTTGCACTAGAACAATATTAGGGCAAGGGAAAAAGCAACATGATATTACTATTGAGTGTGTCATTTCAGGGCCATCTGATCCTGCAATATGGATTAGTGTGGACGGGACCGTATCAATCCGAATTACTAATTTGCATTGGAGATTTAGGGGAAATGAGACAATTTTTGTGGATAATGTACGTGTGGAGATATTCTGGGACGTGCATGACTGGTTGTATAGTGGCCCTCGCTCTGGCCCTGGGACATTCATTTTCAAACAAGATAATGAAGGTAGTGATAAATTGGAAGGCAGATATTCAAATTCTGAAGGTTATATTAGTGATGGAAGCTCTAATTTGCAATCTGTGTGCACGGAATTATGGCATTTTCTTTATGCATGAAAGATTGAATGACTTGACTATAGTCTCATCGGGTTAAAATTGGAACAATACAAAGAAGTCTAAATGAGTAGCTTTGGAGTTGTGAGACCACATCCGAATGTGTTACTACTCTACCAATGTTGACGAAGCTGGATTCCATGTTTTAAGCAAATGGAGTATGTGTTTTCTTAGGCTTTTTGTATATTGATCAACTTAAAACAATTCAACTTGTTTGCCCTGGCTGACCTGAATATATTAGATTTTCCAATTGTTGGAATTTTCTTAGTGAAAAAAGAACAAAAAAATCTGTTTCATTTGAGTAACTGGGAACTAGCTAGGTTCAAAATATAACTTTCAACTTAATAACCTTTGAGAGCTGATGGCCCAATGCAAAAAATTATAATTTCTTGATTCTTGATGGAATATTCGCACTCCCTATAATCATTTCAATAAAATTACAAGACTTTCAGTAATCATGAACAGACTATACTTGATCACCAGCAAAATATAGATAAAGTACTTAATGTAATTTTGAATGCAATGTTATCAAGGGAATAAGGAAAAAGTAATTTCAATTAGGGGCTTGGAAGGTGGGGTCGCACTTAGGGGTGGAGGGAATGGGCGAAAAGTAGCATTTTATTTTATTTATACGAGGCACGGGTGTACGGATAAACCGACAAACCGCACCAACCCGATAATTTGAGTCAAATCAAGAAAAAAAATTCGACTATGGTTTAGTTTGATTTGGTTTGGTGTTGGAAAAAAAAAACCCGACATATTTGGTTTGGTTTGGTTTGGTTTTGACTAAAAAAAGTCAAACCGAAACCAAACCAACCCGACATTATATGTATAGAAGTTTTAAATATATTTAATACATAAAAATATTTATGGTAGTGTAGTTTATAAATATTTCTTAAGTTATTTCATAGTTTTATCTTTTAACATATTATTTCAAGCTTGAGCTTATAATTTTTGGATGCTCCAATAAGTTTTATAGTCCATAAATGTTAGTAGCTCAAATAAATCCTAAACCAAAATCAAATCAATACTAATGCTAATAAAAGACATGCAATTCAATTGTATTATGAATGAAAATAATGTTGGATATCTATTTTTTAGTTTTTTCATGGTTTAGATAAAATGTATAACTTATTTTTCTTTTAGTGGTTAGTCATGTAAATAATAGTACTTATTAATCGTAATTTTAAATTATGTTTGTTTTCATTATGGCTTATTAATAATATTTATTTTATGCGATTTTATTATCTTTATTGTTGAATATTTTAGTACAATGCCATGACTCATCTCATATTTATATTATTTTATTGAAAAATACCTTATATAGTTTTATCTTACTAGGATTAAAGAAATAATTGGAGCACAAATTTTACGTTTTGTGCTATGAAGACTTCATGAAAAAAATTGAAAAAATCCAAAAATCCGAGAAAAATCGAGATTAAAAAATCCGACTTTTATTGGTTTGGTTTGGTATTTAGATTTAATAACCCGATACAATTGGTTTGGTTTGGTTTGGTAATTAGAAAATCCGAACCAACCCGACCCATGTACACCCCTAATACGGGGTAAGACCTAAGCTCCATAAAGTTTCTATCTTTAATAATATCAAAAATTAAACTTAAATATAAAAAAATATTATACCAAACATCCGCTTAATATAATTCACTTGTGGATTCATTTTCTGTTTACAAATAAAATTAAACTCTTAAATTCCCTATGCACTGGATTCCTATACAAATATAGTGCTTTTATACCTATGCGTTAGTATACAAAAGGTAAACTCTGAAAAAATTATACACAATATTATGTATGTGATTTTATTCTCGTGAGTTTTAAAGTTTGATTTTGAAATATTTGAGGTGTAGATGCAAAAATTTACCAATCAAATGAATAGGCACTGACAACTTAAAAATGAAATTATTGTGAAGATAAACTAAGTTGTATACGGTCAAAATCGGTTAGTCCTTCGTACGAACTGGTCGAAATGGTAATACTGGATCGAAGAGCGTCTTCATAATATCAGGTTGAGGTACGAAGTCAGGTCATCAAGCCTCGAGTCCTAGGAACCGATCAATGTCGAGCTCGATATCATTATCGAGCTCGAATCCAAATCGAACTATGATGCGAAGTAAAGTTATCGAGCTTATGAGGCAGAGACCGACCAACACTGACCCCGAATCAATACAAGGCTCCGAGTCAGAATCGAGCTCGAGTCAATATCGAGCTCCTAGACAAGAGTCGTTGCGACCGCACTAGGGGAGAGAATCCTGACGGGAATTAGAAAAAAGCTGACTTATCATGGGTCTCCCACTATGTATTTTTAATGATATCTAAAGTAGGATCCCTCCACTATAAAAGGGATGATTATTATTTCTGTAAGGGGACATTCAGACATTGTAACTGAGATATCATATACTCCCATATTGAAGAATTATCCTTTTTTAACTTCATAAGATTGATCCATCTTGCTTAATCTATAAATCATCCTCTTTTCAGCTTTGTTTATTTTTCATCCTTACAGTCAATATTCGATACTCTTATTTACTCTTATGATTTGTGTCGAGTTATACCACATAACCTTAGAATTACATACAAATTTAACTCTATCCGTTTTTCGGATAAACAGTTTGGCGCCTACCGTGGGGCTAAGGATAATAGTGATTATTTGATACGAATCTACAAAAACACACCATTTTACGCTTATTTTCGGAAGTATCTTCGATTTCGGATTAGCAACAACGAAGTTCTCAATTAAATGGCCTTACCTATCGACAATGAAGCTGGCCTTCAAGGTGAGAACAACAACTTGACGACCAGGGCAGGAATGCCACTTATCGACGCCACTGAAGCTCGAGTCGAAGTACCATTAGACGTTATTTCACATGTTGCTGTCGAGGCAAACCTACATTCTGAACCTAAAAATAGCATTCATGGTGGTACTCGATCTCCAGCTTGAGAAACCCATAACATTGAGGAAAACGGAATCACCTTGCATATGATTTTCGAAATGTTGCAAGCTCAACAGGTAGCGATAGCTCAATTGCAGAGTCAAACCCAGGTACCAAGTGGACCGGAGCCCAGTCCACCCCGAAAAATCACCCACAGAACGGAGCCAGCTATAGTAAGGTCAAATGAGTAAGAATCAGGGACTAGTCCCGAAATTGCTAAGATACTCGAGGAACTCACAAAACGGATCGAAGTAAACGATAAAAAAGTGGAAACATATAACTCAAGGGTCGATCAGATCCTGGGGGCACCACCAGTGTTGAAAGGGTTGGATTCCAAGAAATTAGTGCAAAAGCCTTTTCCCCCGAGTGCATCTCCAAAATCGATCCCCAAAAAATTTCGCATGCCCGAGATTCCTAAATATAATGGAACGACTGACCCTAACAAAAACGTCACCTCTTACACGTGTGCCATAAAGGGCAACGATTTAGAAGATGAAGAAATCGAATATGTGTTGTTGAAAAAATCCGGAGAGACCCTTTCGAAGGGAGTAATGATTCGGTATCACAACTTGCTACCAAATTCCATCGACTCATTCGCCATGTTAGCAGATTCTTTCGTTAAGTCACACACAGGGGCCATAAAGGTCGCAACGAGGAAATCATACCTTTTTAAAGTAAGACAAAGGGATAATGAAATGCTGAGGGAGTTCGTGTCCCAATTTCAAATAGAACGCATGGAATTGCCACCGGTCACAGATGATTGGGCCGTTCAAGCTTTAACCTAAGGGTTGAACGAGCGGAGTTCGATAGCATCACGTCAGTTGAAATAAAGTTTGATCGAGTATTCGGCCGTGACCTGGGAAGATGTGCACAATCGATATTAGTCGAAGATCAGGATCGAGGACGATCAACTAAGAGCCCCCTCTAGTTCAGTACATCCAAACAGGTCAGTAGCTAGGAACCATAGGGACGTCGACAGGGAACGACGGTAAAATAGAGACCGATATCAACCATATACCGCAGATCAGAGGAACAATGGTTCAGGACACAATTCCGCCCGGAACAATCGAAGAAGTGATCAAGGACAAAGTTCTCGGGGACTTATGAGCAAGAGTGGTTTCGACAAGTATGCCGATCCCATAGAGGCACCTCGGTTATCGGAATATAATTTTAGCATCGACGCATCGGGCATTGTATCGGCAATCGGAAGGATCAAAGATACTAGGCGGGCCAGACCCATACAGACCGATCCTTCTCAAAGAAACCCAAATTTGATGTGCAAGTATCATGGCACACATGGTCACAAGACCAAAGATTGCAGATAATTAAGGTAGGAGCTAGCCCGTCTATTTAACAAGGGCCACCTTCGAGAGTTCCTCAGTGATCGAGCCAAGAATCATTTCAGGGAAAGAGACGCCAACAAAAAAAAGTGAATAGGAGAAACCCCAACATGTTATTCATATGATCATCAGTGGGGTCGACATTCCACAGGGACCCATGTTCAAACACACTAAGGTATCAACTACTAGGGAAAAACGAACCCGAGACTATGTGCCCGAGGGCACTTTGTCATTCAACAACGAAGAAGCAGAAGGCATTTCCCAGCCCCACAACAACACTCTGGTAATTTCCATCTTATTAAGTAAAGTTCAAGTTAAGTGTGTATCACACCCCTTTTATACCCCCTCCCCCCCTCGCAAAAAAAAAAATATGTATTATAGCTTGTTGTGGGTTAAAGAGTTTTTCCAATTAAAGTAAAAATTTGAGTAGGGATTATTTTATTTACAGAGTCGCCACTTGGAATTGATTTTTTGGGTGTTCCAAGTCACCTTTTATTTGAATCCCTAGTCAAAGGAAGGTTTAACTCTATTATTATTAGTCTGCGAAAATAAAGTTCGGGTAAGGAATTCTGTTGACCAGGGAGAAGGTGTAAGGCATTCCCCGAGCCCTATGGTTCTAGCACGGTCACTTTATTGACTACATTTGGCTTGAATTAATTTTGGATAAATTATGATTTATTGGTTTCCATGCTTTATCTATCCACTTTTAATTATTAAAATATGAAATTATCTTTGAAACGAATCACGTGTGTGAATCCGTTTTGTGTTATTGTGCCAAAATCATGTCACGCGTACGTGTACACAATTAATAATATTTTATTATATTAAGATTATTTTGACCAAAGTTGCGAGAACACATACTTCGGTTTTAATTTTAAAAATTACAATTATGCCACGCGAAGGTATACATAATCGCGATAAACTAATTAAAAGCGTGCCTAAAGCAATCTAACGATGTTCATTATTCTTCCTAAACTTTGA